TATAGTCACACGACCTTGCTGACGCAACTGTATTATTGTCACAGAAAGCCCTGCAGTTTACATTTTAACTACAAAACAAGTTTTATTATTTAATAAAGAAGTGAAGTGTATTTGTATCATACACAAATGTAGTAAATTAAATGTTATTTACCATATTTTATTGTAAAGTAGGTGATAAATTATGGTCAAATGAACTATATCTGATAGATTAATGTGTTTCAATACATTTACAGTTGGATAAAAGTAACAATGTGCTGTTTAACTAACCTTAAACCTTGTAATTATTGTAAAGTTCTCATTTTTCAACAAATAATTTTATATTGTAAAGTTTTCAATGAACTAGTTAATAAATTATAAATTGTCAAAGTTTGTCCCAAAGTTAGCAATGTAAAAACTTGTTTGTAAGTTACATGGATACCTCTTAAAAAGCAAATGATCATGTTCTGTCAGAATTGAAGAGGTTGGAATAGTGTGTTTCTAAATCAACCTTAATATGAGAAATATATTCTAGATAGTCTGCAAGTTATTTGTCATAAAATATTATAAATGTGAAGTATTAAGAACATGAAAGAAATAATGTTATGCTTTACTTATAAATTACCTTACATCATTGTGATGGGCACAGTTTTTTAGAACAAATTTCAAACAAGAAAGGTGAAGTAAAACATTTGGTTATGCATGCCACTGGCTTATTTTTCTTTGTAGGATGTTAAGACTATTTTATTGGGTTTTTATAGAAACAAAGTCAGTTAATAACTATTAATGTAGTTTTGATGGGTCATACATCATAAGAAGTGATTAGGTTTTGATGCAATTTTAATATTACAGTACCATAGTTTGACACACATTGGATAAACATTGGCAGCATTTCGGAAAAGACAAAAATCACTTTTTCAAAATGTATGCATGTTTTCATGCCTCAAAATACCATCAAACCATTTGGACTTGGAAACAAGATTTAAACAATATGCAGCTCTTGGATTAATTGAATATTGTTATAAACAAATTAAAGGTAATCTGTATTTTCAGTCAACATAAACCAATTGAGAGTACACAATAACACAAGATAGCACTACTCTAAAAAGGAGAGATCCCTGAATCAGAATATCATCCGAATAAGACTGAAAGGATTGACTACTATATGGAGAACACAACATGCAATGGTGTCATCTCTTCCAAAGTGCATTGCATTACTTATTTCACTTGGAAGGACTCAACCTCCAGGTATTACTGAACCTCTGCACATTTGTTTAGAAAACATATATGATATCAAATCACAATTATATAAATATATGTATATGTGTGTGTTACACATTTTTTTCTTTTTCACAAAAGGTAAAATTGAAAAGAGAATCTGTGATGTAGAGGCCTAATGCATTACTTAATTGGCCATATCCTCTGCTGTGGACTGCAGTTTTACCTATTCATAAACATAAAGTCACACAGTTCTTCACTGACACCTTCTCTGGGAGTGTTTACAACACCAAAAGGGAATGACCTATGACAATGAGTAACAAGGAAACTAGCAAGCTAATTACATTTCATAGTTAATTTCTGTGTTTGTTAAACCTGTAAGTATGCCCAAATGCATAAATATGTGAAACACTTTGAAACTTTTAGGTGAATATCAAAATGTTAACCTGTCAAAATTAAAAGGATTAGAAACCCCTGGCTTATTTGACAAATCACTTGTGAAAAACATCATTACAGTGCCTAAGTTACAGCTGTGTTGATATGTTAAGGACTCACATACAGGACCCATAATGCATTGAAGTAATAATCTATAAACTTTGAGCACAGTATATAATATTTTAGAGTGATCGTGCACTTCTTCAGAAATTAACACAAAATACAACCTAGAATATATGTACTCCAAGGCCTTTCCATTTAAAATTATATCTTACAAACTTACTAAATATGAAGTACAAATTTTGACTTTATAGAATGATATAAATGTTTAAATTTAAACATGAAATAAGTAGATGCTTATAAAAGGTCAAATAGTTAATTACCAGTTATTATAATATGGAGTTAAAATGGAATTAACATGATAATTTTACTTTACAGGAGAGATCCTGATTCCGGTGATATTGTGCTTCGAATGCATATTTTCTTGAAAATTGCTGAGACTTCTAGAAGTAATATGACTCAGAATGACCTTTTAAAATATATAGAATCACATGCTTCAAAAGTGTTTAATGCCAGTGTGCAAGTGAATTTTACAGGTAAACAGCCATTTGAAGGTTTTTGGAAAAGATGCATTATTTTTTATTAATATAAATAGCAAAATTATTATTTTTTATTGTCTAATTGAAAATATCATATCATGTAGTTTTAAGTAAAGCAGCACAAAGAATTGAAGATCTATAAAAAAAATACACAAACATCTTTTAACAGCTTATGATTAGTGTATTCAGGTTGCTTTACAGATGTTATGTAGCAAGTCATTGCATAAATTATGACTGTATACATGGGTTAGATTATGAATATTGAATTGTATGTCAGCACGCTACAAAAATTCAAATTTAATAATTTTCAATATTTTTATCAGAAGTAAATGTTTCCTTCCAATGTGACTAGTAACTATGACCTGTTAATTTTGTTAAATAAACTCTTAGCTCAAATACCAGAAAGATATAATGTTCACCTATATCAATGTAAATTTAAAACCCATAATTGCACAGTTCTGTTATAATATAAACAGTGTGATTTCTGTTTGCTGCTTGATACAAGAGTTACTGCAGTTAGGTTTTAGAAGCATGAGGGGAAAAAGTTTGAGGGAAAATATTACGTTTGGAAGTATCATAGAAGATTAAAAGAAAAAAACTATTTTGTGGTTTAAACTTTTAATAAAAATCATGTATGCATGTTAGAATGACTTAAGTTCTTCCTACAGCAAATTTTGTCTAAACCACCACCACCCATTTTGGCTTCAAATGAAAGCTTCCATTCAATAAACTAAGTTATTTGGCCAGCTTCATACATATTAATGTGATAATTACCCAATAGTGAAGAACTAAGATGTGTATAAAGTCAAAACCTAAAGCTTTAATTTGGTACATTCTAAATGCAGTTGAGGTTGTGTTCTAAATTCAGCCTTAGGTATTATTTATTTAGCAAGATCTGATCAGAGGAGCTATCTTCCATTCCAAGTAAATGTGATTCATTTGCTAAGCTCAGCCTTAGATGTTACTTTATTTAGTAGGGTCTTATCATGGGAGCTATTTTCCTTTCCAGGTAAATGTAATCCATTTGTTAAATTCAGCCTTAAGTGTTACTGTGTGATACAGAGGAAAGCTAACTTGTAGATGCAATCTAGCAATTTCAACAGATATGACTGAAAAGTCAAAAGTTGCTTGTGAAGTCCTCTCATTGTTCCAATGTTACTTCTGGGTGCTATTCATCACGTGTAGTACATCTTTGTTTTTAGTAAAGTTTATTTATCCTTTATATATCTTTTTCCTTTTCAGGTAAAATATTTTAATTCAACTCCTAACAACAATTTAATAGCCTACCATGTCAGCACTCATTTATTTTTCAGGTTGTCTTTACCTGAAAAAGCATTATTTTCGTGCAACTTTGCAACATCCATGTGTACCAAATTGCTAAATCATGCTTTTCCAGTTACTAGGTTCTGAAAGTTCCAGTTGTTTCAAATATCAGCTAACTGTGTGCTGAACTTATTCTTAGAATACTCAATGTCATAAAACTCCCTGGAACAAGCTTGTCCCGTTATGCCAAATGTTATGTACATTACTTTAAAATTTTTATCTTATTATGGTTGCTCACATACCTTCACTTTCACACATTTTTGTCTTTAAACATTTATTCTTGAAACATAATGTAATTGCTGGAAAAGTTAAAAGCTTCTTGTTGGGTTTTTACTAGTTTCTACTTCTTCAAGGATTTTCTGGGGAGTTAAGTGTCTCAAATTGTAATCCACTCTTTCAAATTTCTGTACACAGTGCTCGTCACTATTAATACTGTAATGTTTTTCAATTAAAATCTAGTATGTGGTCATGAGAAGGTATTCTATTCTGGCCGAGAAATAACTCAATCTCATTTTAATTTAACTTAATTACTCTTTTTTTGCTCAAGAACACCTGAACATTTCCTAAATGTACTGAGGTTGTTATCATAGTTGGACTTCATATAAAGAAATGGGTAAAAAAAGTGTAAAAAGATATCACTATCGCAGATGTGATGTTAAGATCAACTTCTCATAACATTAACGACATCACACTGTTTCTTCAGACTGTCAGTTACAAAATGTTTCTCACCATCAGCTCTCCTTTCTTATTGTCATTTCTGTAGCTCTACTTCACTCACAAAGAAGAAACTAATTTTTCAACTTTCTACTTCTAAATGTTCACATTCTTTTCTTATTTTTGTTGTTTTTTCATACAGCTTTTATAAAACAGAACCAAGAAGTGAATATACTTTTTTGGGGGTGGTCAGAACTTGTCATCTCTTATCCACCAGATCAATAATCCTTTTTCATTCTTAATGAGAGCCTGTGTAAATATTTTTCTCTTTAGAATATACATTTGATTTTGTGATTAAAATTATTTGCTTCCAGCTGTTGTTAAGTTTAATAAACTTCTTCATTTCTGCATCTCTGTTTTGGGTAAACTCATATAGTTTTGTAACTTCAAAGAATCAAGATACAAATTAATCATGGTGCCACTGAAATTTTTCTGCTTTTTAAATCCGTATCAAGGTGCTTATTCTAAGTTGTTTTTATCAATTTACTCTGTATATTAATTTTAATATACTAAATATCAATTACTAAATTTGTGTAGGAACACTAAACAGGAATTCACATTGTGCAATTTCTCTTACAGATTTTTGTGATGAGAAGGTGAAACAAATAAGAGGTCAAAATGTTACATGGGATGAAACCCACTATACAAAATTTGCTGTTTCTGATCCTTACTGTTTGAATGGTAAGAATTTTTCAACTACTTTATCTGTTATATCTTAGTTGGCCTGATGAGACCTGGTAATGGGAGAAAAGCATCATATAATTTTTAAAGAGTAAATACAAGCATGTCTAAAACCTACTTCATAACTAGTTAAGTGATTATGTTATATATTGGCTTACGCCTTATGGTATAGGAGTACTAGTCAGTGTTAGATAACCTCTTATAGCTACAGCAAGTTCATTTGATAATGTGTAATTCTTATTAAGTGGAGCTCAATTTATTTATTTTTTAGGGTATTATTCAATTTAGTTATGTAAAATGTAACCCAATAATTTCAGTTTTGAAAAATATTTATGTAAAGATTCACATATTTGTGAATTATAAATGAATTATAAATGCTAAAAGTGTGTTTGTTTGTTTGTTGTTATACACAAAGCTACACAATGGGCTATCTGTGCTCTTCCCACCACGGGTATCAAAACAAACCCGGTTTCTAGCAATGTAAGTCCGCAGACATACCGCTGTGGCACTGGGGGGGCTATGCTAAGAGAGATGTAATGTTCAATAAAAAGTATATATATTTTTTAAATTAAGAAAAGGAGAAAAAACCAGATTCAAATTAGTTTCTCCCTGCTGTTGTGTCTTTAATTCATTAGTTTTATAAAAACACAATTTCACAAGAATCTTTAATCTACAGCACATTAAGATCCATTAATTATTTTTGTATATTATGTGCCAAAATGAAGCTTTTAATTGAATATGAGGTGTTGAGAGGGATCACACTGACTTGTTAATATTAATATAGTAAATGTTTCTGAAAAGAAAAAAAAGGAACAAATTATTTGGGCTCAAAAATGACTTTCATTATTTGGAGCTAAAAATTTCTTCAGTGGTTTGATGTGATACAGAAATGCATTATACTAAAATGATTTATAATATGTAAATCAGCAAGTTGCATGATAACCATAGATGATTGAAAGTTGTAGTGAAATGGCATATAATAAAACTATATTTTGGCATTGTTTATTGTTTCTCAGAAAGTGTGCTGCCATCAAAAATTGATAATTTTTGGGAAGGGTATGTATATTTTAATTTCAAATATATAGAGAAAAATCACGATGGAGACAGACGGGTTTTTAGAAACTATCCAGGATAGTTTTCTTCAACAGTTGGTTGAGGAACCTACTAGGAACAATGCTATTCCACATTTATTGTTAACTTCTAATATAGAAATGTTTGATAGGGTATAGACTGACAAACATTTGGGTGCAACTGATCATTGCTCAATCAGACGTTTGGATGTTTTTTTAAATACGGAGATAAGAAATAATAAAAGTTTGGTTTCAACTTTTGAAAAAAAAAGATTTTAAAGAAAAAATAAATTCTTAAATATTCAAGATCAACATTTTCCTCATAGGAAAGATAAATTTTGGCTCACAAAGTTGTAAAGGATAAAATTAAACAAAGGCATTGTAAATATAAGAAGTATAAATTGACAGCAATGATGGGAGATTTGGAGGATTACAGAAGATCAAAAGAGCAGGTCAAATGGGAAATAACAATATATGACAATCACTAGAATTAGCTATCTTAAAATTAATCTTTTTTTTTATGATAATTTTTAGTAAGTACAATCTAAATCCATTTAAGATGTTCTAAAGTTTAATATTTCAGTAAGAAGTTACAGTAATCATGAATTCTCTACTTTTTTCTTAATCTTTTTTTTTCCTTTATGTTGCAGAGTCATGGCAGCTTGTCCTCCGTGCTTGTGAATCTAGCTTTGTTCGTGGTTCCAGATGGTCTGACTTTGATTCTTCTCAGTGTGCGAGACTTCAAGACCACATTACTGAGGGTATATTTTGATAGTTATTATTCACATTTCCATTTTAAAGAATGAAATGCAAAATTCCAAGAAAGTGTGCACATCAAATTACTGATTAGCTCTTAGGGAGTTTTTTTTCACCACATGAAGAGAATGCTACTTTTGTAATTTAATGATCCTTGCATTGTGATCATTGAAAGTGGTATACAGTAGTAAAAACTATAAGGTAAAGAGTGCAACTGATTTGCTTACCAAGTTAGAGGATAAAATTAGCTTAGATGTGCATGTGAGAGTCTACATGTAACAAGTGGAACATTAAGTATTGTTTTTAAAAAAAAATCACGTGGAAGTTAATTAATCACTATTTTTGGCCATTGTGTGCAACTGGATTTTAATCATTTTGAAGTTAGGTATCAACAATGCTGGGTGAGATTATCATTCCAGAGTATCTGATGTTGGCCCAAGTCATTTACTTTATAAATAATAGCCATGTTCTGCAGCAATCATTAAAATCTTCAAATTTTGTGTAAATATAAGAAAATCAAATCATTATATCATACATACACTCAGATTTGATGAATGGAGCAAGCAATGTGCATTGTACCCAGGGCGCTCAACTCGCAATCTGTGAGTCGCGGGTTCGAATCCCCGTCACACCAAACATGCTCGCCCTTTCAGCCGTGGAGGCATTATAATGTGACGGTCAATCCAACTATTCGTTGGTAAAAGAGTAGCCCAAGAGTTGGCAGTGGGCGATGATGACTAGCAGCCTTCCCTCTAGTCTTAAACTACCAAATTAGGGATGGCTAGCACAGATAGCCCTCGTGTAGCTTTGTGCGAAATTCAAAACAAACCAACCTACTTACATCCTGTTGAATATGATTTAAAACAAACTCTTTAGGACTTTTAATTAATATTTTTTATCAATATGTTAAAT